TTATTATTATTATTATTATTATTATTATTATTATTATTATTATTATTACTAATAAAATGAAACCACTCCAAATGTCCCACCATCCTCATATTTTCCTTATTAAAATATTTGTTCTATCATGTTGGACTTTGGTGCCAAAAACTCTTCTTACCTTTTGACTAAAATAATAGAAGGCTAACCTTGTTACAAAATGAAACCACTCCAAGATGTCCCACCATCCTTACATTTTCCTTATCAAAACATTTGTTCCATCATGTTAGACTTTGGTACCAAAAACTATTCTTACTTTTTGACTAAAATAACTTAAGAATAACGTGGACGCAAACTTTTGAAAGCCAACCTATAAAAAGCTAAATCCTCCCAAATAGTTGGGGACCCACCACTTGAATCACTTTTCAACAACCTTTTATTACATTCATTCTTGTTGTATTTAAAGCGAATAAAACATGAGAAAGAAAGAGATTTGGAATGGTTTAAACTGTGATGAACAAAATAACCTTTTATTACTTTCATTCTTGTTGTATTAAGGTTTCACTTAAGGTTTCACAAATTTATGAACCTCTCTAAAAACCTTTAACATTTAGGTAGACTTTTGGAGCAAACTCACTTTTCATGATTTCTAAAAATTAATTTGTATATTTTTTTTATATTTTTCTTTTTCATTAAAAATTTATTATTTATTTATTTATCTTTTATTATTGAATAATTTCTCAACATTTAGGTAGAATTACTAATCTTTAGAACATGATTTTTAATTCTTTTCGACATCTAGACATGGATTTTAAAATCTTTTGTTGTTATTTTTATTATTATATTTTAGGCAAAAATTCATTTTAACAAATGCAAATAATAACTAAAATGCATAAAATATGATCAAAGAACATAAGCATGCCAATTGAAAAGCTAATACATGTACAAAGTTATTAAATAATCAAAATTAAACATAAATGACAATAAACATGATTAGAATAATAATAAATAATAATAATGCAAAAAGGTTGGATGGAGTTACTAGGTTCCATACAACCTTCACTAGTTGTTTCGAACCTGAACTTGCATTTAAATCCTTCTCATGACTGTTTTTGACTTCCTTTCCAAGCATCTAGGATTAAGCCCCAACATTTTATACAATCTTCGAAAAGTCCATATTTGAACCAAAATCTTCAGCTTGCTATTCCCCAACCACCTATTTAGCCAAATTTTCAACTTCAAACCTTTGTACCACCACCAAATCCTTAGACTCCTAATCAATCTATTGCTTAAAAATTATCCAAGGAAAAGAAATAATTAGATCATATCCCCATTTCATATGAAAAACTCTTTCCCTATCTGTTTGAAGGACACATTGCTGCCCATGTGCCTTCAGAGCCTTTAAAGCCTCCGTATCTAAAATATTTTGACCCAAATACAAGATGTGAATACCATGGTATGATTATAGGGCACTCTATTGAGAACTATGAGAGTTTCAAACACAAGGTGCAATCACTCATAGATGCGTAGTGGTTCGAACCAACGACAATAGTGGGATAAAAATTTAAGAATAATAAGAAAAAAGATGTCATGATAATGAATATGGATGTGATTTTTTATTAAAGAGGATTTACATGTGATAGGTTGTTTGGAAAATGAAATGCTTTATGAATTTTTTTGTTTGTGAAATATTTCTTTATGTTAATATGGTGTTGTCTTTTCAAACTAAATATGTGAATTATGGTTTGTCTTTAATTCTTGCCATTTTTCTAATTTCCACACTTTTCACCAAAAAGCTTTGTTATTTGTGCATTCATTCATTTTATTCATTTTATCCATTTATGTATTCACTTAACAGAATGCAATTCTTGTGCTCTAAACAGAAAAAAAATTTTGAAAATAATCCTTACAATTTTTTTCAAAGGATCAGAAGAATATTGATTTGATAGGAGAGCTTAGAGGTTAGGAAGTCTGCTAGTCTCTTTACATTTAAGGATTCGATCTTAAAATTGCATTTCATCACCTAACATCACATTCATTCATATATTTATTTTTTAATTGTTACTATTGTTTTTGGTGAATTGTAGTTTTTTTGCAAAAATATCTTTTTATAGAAAATGTTATTTAAAAATGGATTTAACAATAAAATTAAAATAACATTCCGAAAGAAACAATTTTAGTACTTTACCTAGATGTTGGAGAGTTATCAACAATTGTCATTTGCAAAGAATTTTATTTTTACTTTTAAAGGAATTTTATGGTGAATGTCAGATAGAAAAGATTATCTTTGGATTTTACCTAGATGTTGAATAATTAAAAGATATTTTTTTAATATAAATATTTTCACAATATTCCTAAATAAAGATTTTTAATTGATTTTCTTTCTTTAAAAAAGAATTGTTATTAAATATTAGATAAAACTATTTTTGTCCAAAATTATAGATAGTGCATGGTTAACTGGTACCAAATTTTATAGGCATTGTGACGGTGCTAATCCTTCCTTACATATAACCGACTCCTGAATCTAATCATATTTTCATATACCAAAATTATTTTTTTAATAAATTTTAAATCTATTTTACTATTTTATTAAAAAGATAAATTTTTTTTATGGGTCGTCAATCACACTCTAAAAATGATTGGTGGCGATTCCTCGTATTTTTACGATTTTAAACTTTTACATTTAGCGATCGAGTCTCCAAATTGATACGTTATGACAAATGTTATAAAATCACTTTTACACTTTCTAATTGTAATGTCTAGGGGTGTAAATAAGATACTTATACTTGCAAGCTACTGGGATTTAATAAAAAAAAATTGAATTCGATTTGATTATTATCGAATCAAGCTAAGCTCAAGTAGCTTAAATTATCAAGTGAGCTGAGTTTGAGTATGTTAATACTTAATTCAAATAGCTTACGAGCCTAATCGAATTTTTTATTTTAATATATGTTTTTATTATTTTAATTATTAACTTACTATTTTAGCCTTAATATTACATAATCTAAAAACTTCAAATCATTTTCACTTAATTTTTGTCTTATTCCCTTTGGACCTTGTGACGTCTTTTCTTTCAATCTTCGACGTCTATTTAGCAGCCAACCAACCATCATTTTGACACTGACTTAGTCTCTCTCTCACTCGTCTGGTCTCAGCTAGTGGCACTCCATTCCTCTCAAAATTCTATCCCAAACCCCAATAGCAATAGTAGCCAACCAACATTTCTTTGGCTATTTGGGATCTTTAATTCTTTATATCAATTTGTGGAAATAAAAAGGGTGAGTTTATATTTAGTTCATTGAATTAGAGAAGGAGATAGAAAAGGAAATGAACCTATATGATAGAGTTAGTGATGTGACTACTTGAAAGAAGATGGCTCAAATGAGAGTGGAGCAGTAGAGGAAAAAATGTTTTGGTAAATAGAGTAGATAGATTGGAAATGAGAATGCCATGTTTCTTTTCAACTTCTTTATTTTTTTTTAAATATATGAAGATGTTTTTACTTTTGATTTTTTTTAATCATTTATGCATTCGATTTTAAGTTGGGTAGATATTGCTTTATTAATTTATTAGCTTTGCATGAAATTTTTTTTTTTACTATTTATATGATAAGGATAGTTCTTTTTCATCTTTGTTGAATATATTTTTGGTTTTTTTGAGAAATGGATTTGTTTAGCTTTGTGTTTATGTTGTAGATCTATTGATTTTATGTTGCTTGATAACTATTTCCAAGAATTTGATTTGTTGTGACACTTTTCTTCACAGATTTTATTATTTATGTTGTTCTTCTTTATTTTTTAATTTTTTATTGTATTTATAAAAATTTTAATTCGGGTTCAAGTTGGAGCACACGTAATCAAGTTCGAAGTCAATTATAGAAATCGAGCTTGACTTTTTATATGTTAAACGAGTCTAATTGAGTAAGTTTGAGTAGCTCAATTTTTATCTCGGATTTAGCTCAAACTTAAAAAATAGAACTTAATCGACTTCGAGCTTTAAGTTTCGAGTCAAGCTTGAGCTCGAGCTTGATAGTATATTGGCTCGAACTCGATCGATTACACCTCTAATACTGTTTATATTATTATTAGCTCTTAGAAGTTACTAGTTGGTAATTACATTTTAGCTTAAACATATAGAGCCATCTTCAACTCTTTTTTGCAAGAATTGTTAGGTTGGTAAGTAGCCATCCCATTATTTAATGAAAAAAATCTCCTACAATGATTCCATCATTAGTGAAAGAAATATATTCACATAGGAGTGAATAGTCGATTGGTTCGGTTTAAAAAATTGATAATTGATTTAACTGATCCTTATTTTTTGAATAACCTAATTGGCTTAAGTTAGTTCGATTAAGTAGGTTCAATCAAATATTTTTGAAGAACATTAAGAAGATATAAAGTAAATAAAAACTTAAACAATCCAACATCATCATTCCAAAACCCCCAAATAAGCATATTTATAATTGGTTTCATGATTATTAAGTTATTATATTCTGTCTTTCAATTAATCATCTCTTTATGTTTCCAGAATTGCAATCACTAAATTTAACTATATAAACCTTAAAAATTAGCTTTTTCTGTTAAGTATAGACACAAACAAAATAAAATCAAGTAAATCCAAGACCACAAGCAATGAAGAATAACAAAAAAAGATGGGTTAAAAAACAAGTAAAAGAAGGCTCACGGTGGCTAGATGATGGTTAAAGTGGTTGGGTCAATATTCACGGTGGTGTATTTTGGTGGTATTACCCATGATCCAACTAGGGATTAGCAAGAAAGTCTTGTCCTCGATCTTTTTGATCTTATGCAAATCGATCGACAAATTGAATCTTGATTTAAGATCATGTTTTTGTTTTGAGGGCATCTTAAGGGGATTAACAACAAATCAGTAGATTAATATGAGAAGAAAATAAGGAAAGGAACAAGACAAAGAAATGCAGAACTTAAAAGAAAACATGGGAAAGGCAAAGCAATTTCCATTTTAGGGTTGTGGGTTTTAGAGGATTAGGAGAAAACTTAGGTTTTCTTTAGATGGGAAGTGACATGTTTGCTCTTCAGTAATTAACCATTGAAAAAAATTGATTATTTCGGTTTATTTGATTATCAATTTCAAAAACTAAAAATCAATTTATTTAACCAATTTAACCAAAAAAAAATCGAATAAAATTGAAACCGATTTAACTGAACTGAGTTACCACATTCGATTGGTTTCAGTAAGTTAAATCGATTCGAACCAATTTTCGCTCACCCTTGTATTTATATAGCATAAACACATAGATACTTTATTGATCAGTCATAAGGAGTTTAAACAACCAAGACTATAACATGAAAACAATAAATCTATTTTGTAAGGGCAGAAGTCGTAGTCTTATCAAGCAAAAAGCATGTGGAGAAAATTGAGAAGTAAGTTGCATATTTGAGATCAATACCCAATAACTAAGGATTTAGCTCTATGCCATACATCTAAAATGATATAAAGGCATAAATAGGAATATTAGAGCTTGGTATAAGTTCTTATTTGTTCAAAAAAAGGGCAAAAGAAAAAAACAATTGACTTGGAATATAGTAAAGAACACCACAACTAAGTCTATCATTTTTTAAAACAATAACTATCAAAGTAAAATTGAGATTACTATAATGAAAGAAAAAAAAATCATAATGTTGACACTTGATGAGAGCAACAATTACTCATTTTAGGTAATATGTATGTGCTTGAATCAAGTAGTTATCTTTTTTTAGGTAACATATAGAAAAAACAAAGTATTAATAGTTATTCTTAATAAGTTTGTGTTATGTGGAAGACTATTTTTCCAAAGGATCAACTATATGATAATGAGGGTTACTACTCAATATCATCTTGGCTATGTATATGGCAATTGTTTTGTACTAATATTTCTTTTTGATAAGTTCATTAACGATTTCAAAAAACAAAGCACACTTAAAGTATTAAAAAAATTAATAATAGTAAGGCAAAAATGATATGTTGATCAATATAATAAAATAGTAAAGTTACACAGTAATGAAATAGTGTAAATCAAAAGTCTTATGTTCAAGTTTAACTTATTGTTTACACATCAATGAATTAATCCAACTTTGAATCAAAGATTTAAGTTTTTTTTTTTTGTTTTTGGTGGCATTGTTACTTATCCACTACTTGCAAGTGTTATTTGAAAAAAATTCATGAATAAAGTGGGGCAAGTGGCATGTAAGTAAAGTATTGGCTTCAACCATATTACAAAAGAAATACAAAATTAAACCTGTGAAATTCAGATTTCATAAACAAAAAACCATATTTATCAAAATTGAATTGAACCGTCGGCTGACCGATTGAACTGGTGCTGAAACTGATTCGGTTCTATAATTAGACTAGTTTTGTAATTAAACCACTTTAAACCGTTGTGAACTGATGGTTTACATAATAAACCAGTAAACTGAGCAAATTTTTTTTTTAACTAGACTTATTCAATATCAACTAATAAGTTTAGATAAACTATGAAAAAAACCCTTCAAGTATTCAAAATAATCTAATTAAATCTTCATACTACTATTTCATCTAAATAAACCCCTCAACTTTTATTTTCTACTATCAAAACCCTTGTATCCTTATTAATGATATGTTGGCATATTTTGAAACATGTGAATAATGATATTGCAAAAAACCTTACATGTATAAAAGTAGCAATTTAAAAAAAAAAGATGATCTAACAAAAAATTTTATTAATTGATACCATAATTAAAAATAATTATAAAAATAATAATATATAAAATTAATAAAAAATAAAATGTTAATAAAAATGATTAATTATTTGACCATGCAAAAAATAATTAATAAAAAATGCATATGTTAAAATTAATAAAAAAAATCTACAATCATATAACAATATAAAAATAATTTTAATTTCTTTTTTACTAATTTTCATAATATAAATATTTCCTTTTTATTAATTTTATATATAGATATTTCTTTTTTGTTATGAAAAGATTAATTATTATATATTAATAAATAATATTTATATTTTAATAAATATAAATAATATTATTATTTATCATTATTTATTATTTATTAATTATTATATTTATTAAAATATAAATATTATTTCTAACTATTAAAATATAAATATAATTCTAATAAAATATTAAGTAATTTTATTTCTACCCAGTAATTAATTGTTCAATGAATTTTATATTTTAAAATTTATAGTTTATGATATATCTTAAAATTTATAGTTTCATGGTTGAATTATTAAACTATAACTTGAGTTAAAAGTGTGAATTTTGAATTTTTAAAATATTTATATTTTTTATAATATTATTTATAAAACCGACAATTGACCCGATTAACCGGATGATTTAACTATTAATCCAATGATTAAAATCTTGAACGGTTTAATATCCAATCCAATTATGATAATTATGCAAAAAAACAATTACCCAATTCTTTTTTTTTTATGGTGCAAAAGATTGGGATTACTATAAGGCCTCTAAAATCTAACCTCTAATCATAAAATTATACAAATTCAACGCCAAATTGGAATAAATTGTTCCTTTAACCAATTTGATTGAGTTCATCCAAAAAATAACAAAAAGCTCTAAGAAAAAAGCAAGAATTGAAATTTTTTCACATCAAATCTTAAAATAGCAAAAACCTATGATTCAATTTAAGCTAATATGATTGTAGAAACCAATATGATTGAATTTTATAACTCAACAAAAGAAGGAAAGAAGGAAAAGATCAAACATAGAAACATAAAAATATAATATTGAAAATTAAACCCACTTTTGAATTTCCTTAAACTTAAAATCAAGAATTAGAATTAGTATAAATTGAAATATTATGAAGAAGCCCATTACAATTTCTATAAAACTTAATTAAAAATAAAAAGAAAAATAACATCAGTCAATTTTAACAATGATTCATACTATGCCTATATCCATAGTTTAAAAACAACCATACCTTCACAAGAAAAACAAAACTCAATGTGAACCCAATTATTAAACTTTGATGCACATTAATTTTATGGGAAAAAAATTGGGTTGGGAATTAAACAAAAAATGTAAGCTTTTTTTTTTATTGTAAAATTTGAAAATAAATAAATTGTTCAGTTCATTAGATCAGGATAAGATGTATTATATTTAATAATTTAAAATAAATAATTGTAAGTCATACATTCGAGATGATTCTAATAAATGAACATAATAAAACTCAAATCTTAGATTTTTTTGTCAATAAAAATAAACCTAATAGATTGAACCAACCACTTATTGTTAAAAAAATTGTAAGCTTTTTAACTTACTTTTCTTCCTTTGTTTCATCTGTCTTTTGTCCTCAGCGGATTGAAAAGAATCTTCATCTGGGCATTCAACAACTCCTAGAGCTCTAAGCTTATCTCTACGTGATGTAGCTATTTGTTCTAACGATTCCTCTTCAATAGCCATGAAAAAAAGCTTGTTGGTTTCAGTGTTGAAAGGAGAAAAAAAGGCTGTCTCTAAAGTAAAAAATGATCAAGAGCAACAGAAAAATTAGAACACCAAACCAAATAAAACCAGAAACCCAAAAATAAAATTCCAATAATTAATCAAGAAAAAGAAGTAGAACTCAAGAAGTTCACGATCTTAATTTAATTAACAGACCAAACTACTACATATGAGAATAAACAAAGTGATCGATAATTACCGTAAGTCATTCATGTTCAAGAAAAAAAAAGATGGTTTGATCAATTGAAACTTCAGAGTTCAAAAGAAGAAAACAGTAAAAAAAAGAAAATTTCATTATGAAAAAGATGTTTTTATTTATTTATTTTAATGTTTACTAAAATTTTTTGGGCTTTTTCAGCTAGCTTTTGTAATTACATACAATTAATTATTTTTAAAATGAAAGAAAAAAAATTAGGGACTACCTCCTCCTAAAACAATTGCATGCCTCAAATGCAAAATCGAATGCTTTTTCGTGGAGTTTCCTATGGTGATTCACATCACAAAAAAAGTTCAATCAGATCCAAGGCAAAAAAAAAATTTATTCCAAAAAAAGAAAGGTAGAAAAGAGTTTTGCGTGTTTCAGATTTTGACTAAAAAGAAAGAAACTTTTGTTGTTGGATGAAGGATAAGAGGTGTTTGAGAGTTTCTTGTGCCTGACCTCTTCCTCTTGCTCTACCTTTACCTCATCTCCTTCTCTTTCGCATTGTCTCTCCCCTATCTTTCAGTACTTTTTTCCAGTTCCTTCTCTATCTCTTCAATGCTCCCTTTCTCACTTTTATTTTCGTTTATCTAAGCTAAAAAATAATTAAACCCTAACCCCGGTAAAAATAAAAAAAGCCAAGCGTCGACCCAAATACAGGTGATGGCTTCAAAATGCCCCAAAGAACTCAGGTGTGAACCGAGGCCACAGGTGTTGTCCGTTCTCTATATTATATTCTCTTTCTCTTTTTGGTTTCTTTTCTCTCTTTTCCGTTCCGCAAAAAAAATATTTTTAAAAAATAATTTAAAAAAAAAAAAAATATTTTTAAAATTAAAAATTTTTATTTTTTGGATGAATTAATAAAAAATATTTTTCATGATTTGGTTATTTTTTGAAAATTTTACTTTTTTTCAAATAATATTAATATAACTATTAAAATATAAAAAATTATTTATTATTAAAATATATTAAAACTATTTATTATTAAAGTTATTAATATTAAAATAATTATATTTTTCATAATAATATTTAATATTAAAATGTTATATTAATATAAAAATACTTAAAATAAACTATTTAGTATTCTTTATATTATTTATTAATATATTATAATATTGTTTATTAATATATTATAATATTATTTATTAATAATATTTGTTAATATATTATATTAATAGTATATTATTTATTAATAATATATTATTTATCACTATATATTTATTAATATAATATAATATTATTTATAAATAAAATTATGCTAAAAAATATTGATAATAATTCTACTCATAGATAATTTTTTTTGAAAAATATCCTTCTTTTTTAAATTTATAAGATAATTTTAAAAAAAAATTCTTATTTTTAATTGATTAATAAATCTTTTTTTGTTGATCAATTAATTTTTTATCAAATAAATACTTAAAATTACAAAAATTACTTTTTAAAATATTTTTTTACGAAACAAACTGAACTTTTAAAAAAGCTTCTCAACATATAAGCTCAGTTTTTCAAAACAAATATAGACTTTAATTCTAAAATTATCATTCGTAAGTTTTTAATTCAGTAATTAAAGGTGTTTAAAGAAACATCAATAATTTGGTTTCGAAATAAGTTTTTTTTTATTTGTACTAAAATTTTACTTTTTTAATATAACAAAATAAATTTTAAAAATTATCTTACAAACATTTTTTAAAACAAAAATTATCTGACTATATATTTTAAGAAGGAAATAGTTTTTATTATTTGTATAGATATTCGATACATAATATGCATCAAATCGTATCTAATATTTTCTCTTAAATTTTCACACTAGCGATAATATTATATTATAATCAAATAATAAGATTTTAGATAAAAAGCAATTGATTCACTGGTGGTCAAAGCGAATTAAGGCATGAGCATGATAGCAGCCCCACGAAAGTCAGCAACAAGTAAAGCAACTGGTGCCGGTTCCAACAATTACTCTCCACTCTATCAGAACAAAAAAACCAAGTTAAAGCCGAAACCAAAACCCTTCTCATTTATTAAGTGAATTACTGATATTAGTGTCTGTATGCACCTGTCAGAGAAGACCAAAGCTCAGCAATAAAACTGGAGGTGATTTTTATGTTTGTGTTTAGACTTTCAAGTTAATAAGCGGTCAAAAGAAAGAAAGAGATGCAGGTGAAAAATGAATAAATGGTTTAGGATTAACTGTGAGCGAATAAAAGGCATTTTATATCTGGATGATGTGGCTTGTAGCATCCGACCTGAACTTCGATAGACCAGTACTTAGGTAGCATATCAGCACATCAATTTATGAGTACGTGGGTCACGAATGAAGCCCATGTCAACAATCGAGAGGTGCGGATCAGAGAATCACGGCCGCACAGCTCTTCTTTAACAGTCTAGACACATCGGTCATAATTCATTTAAAACCGAATTAAGCGGTTAAATTAAATTAATTAATCTGTCATCAAATTAATTTTGATTAATTTGATTTCGATAATTAAATTAATTAAATTAACAAAACTATTAATAAAAATATATTAAAATCTTATATAAAATATAAAGATATAAAATTATTCATTTTCTCTTATAAATTTTTAGAGTTTTTTATTTTATAATATGATTATTAAATATTTTGTTGAACAATTTTATTTAATTTATTTAAATATAAAAAATTTTAATTTTAATTTAATTTCAATATATTTTATTATTTAATTAATTAAAAAATTAATTGAATTGATCAAATTAAATTTTAACTATTAATTTTAAAACTAAAAAATTTAATTTGATTAATTTAATTTTAAATAATTGAGTTCGAAATTTACAAACGGATCGAACGATTGCCGCGACTAGATGATGGGGCAATGACGAAATGTACCCAGGAGCTTTATAATGCATATTAGATTGAAAATATAAAATAATTATAATTTTAAAATGTAGTAAGATTTTAATTTATATATTAAATATATAAAATTGATTATTATTAATTTTATATATCATTTCATTTCAATAATTAAAATTTTTTATCTTTCTGTATGAAAATGAAATCATTTTTTAAAATAATGATCTGATCATTTTCGATAATCTAATATTACTGTTAAATATCAAATATAGTGATTTAATTATCATGTATACATCACCATAGTTTTAGAATGATCATCTTATACTAAACACTAATTTAGAGGAAATATGAGAAAAGTGACATGCATGCATTTTTTAGCCTAACCTTGTGGCTTGAAACTATTGGAAGAAAATTGAAATGAAGGAATCTTATAGATTGTATAGATTTAGCTGAGCCATTGATAAGATTTGTCAAAATATATCTTGTTTTTGAGAGAGAGAGATTTGTCAAACATATCAGTCATTATAAGATTAGCCAAATCTGATGATTTTTGTATTCAGACGAAATGGGAAAGAGAGTATACTTGTTTGTATTGTGTGGGAAACAGACCAACCAAAATCTTTATAACAAGGAAAGATCACCTGTCTCGTCGTCATGTCTCCCAAACAATGTTTAGATTATTGTTCTCTGTGGATCTCTTGGGTATGATTCCTTTTATTTATATTTACCCTTTGACTGAAAATTATTAAGGAAGGCGGTTTTAGTCTTTTTCATTTTTTTTTTATTTTCTGCATAAATTATTTGAACATGTCCATCAAAGAACAAAATATCTGGAGGACCTAACTAAAGAAAGGGGAAGAATATTAAGAGTAGAGCTGTGATTAAAAATTTATGTACAGCTTATATGTGATGTAGATATGAAAAATTAGATGGATTCCTTTATGGAATGGCACTGGGCCCAGGATCGATTGCTGGTGTTTTAACTGTTCTTACGGATGCAACAGTGATCACGGCAAGGCTTCCATCTTATTTGAGAAAAGTTGGATTTAGTTGAGTGCAATTTGAATGTCATCCGTGAGAATAATACTAAAAATATGTTCAGGAGTTACTAGCATGCCATCAAGATGTAAATCATATGGTTTCAACCTGGTTCTTTTCAATCACTTTTGATGTGCATGCGCACTTGTGTGATCTTGCTGTTTGCTTTTCTCACAAGTGGTCTTGCGGTATATCATTGTCATTCATTAACTGCTGTGTCGTTTAAATGCTGCTCGAACAATGGCTAAAACATTCCTTTTATTGACAGGTGTTTGGAGGAAGGGGCAGAGGAATTTATAGTTAAGCCTGTAAAACTGTCAGTTGTAAAACGGTTGAAAGATTGTATAATAAGAGGAGAAACAGAAGAAAAAGAAGGGAGAAGAGTCCACAAAAGAAAGTATGAAAATGATAGTCATTTCCCATCATCGCCATCATTAACACCATCATCACCGTCATCACCACTACTACCCCCACCTTTGACTGCAGCCCCATTGGCTTGTGATCTAGCAACCTCAGAACTACTATCATCACCTCTGCATTCATCGAAGAGGACTAAATTGTGCAACAGTGTCTAGTTCCCCTCTCATCCTCTATTCTTTCATTTTTCAGTGGTAAATTTTTTTTGTCAATTTTTGTCTATATCCTCATAGTTTCCCCAATATGGGTCACTAGGTGAAATCCCATGAAGGCCACTTCCATGGCATGTTATCATATCATGTCTGATCCCTGTTTGAAAGAGTTGGATATTGAGCAAGCCTCAACTGCCTGTAGGTGCCACTTTACTGCAAAATGCCGACCACCTAGTGAGGTTGTCCAAAGTCTTCCTGCCAAGATTTAAAGAATCCAAGGAGTAGTTAAATGGTTTGGTTAAAATGCCCTCAACGGCACAAACAGCATTGGATAATTGCCCCTATAGCATTTCGCCCTTTATATTTTTGAGACTACAACATCATTATTTCACTTTCTAAATAAGGTCACAGTCCATAAATGCTTCAACTTCTGCAATGAAAACCATAAATAAGATGATGGTCCCACACTTATTTACTTTGATTTGGATGTATAGTGAATTTAAACTACTATTAATCAGTGTGCGAGGATCCAAAGTATCAAACCTTTGTTGAATATAAAATACTAAAATGGGAAACAAAATGGACAAGAAAAGAGGAGAAAACTGCAATTCATGCATTAACAAGAAAATTATGCGTTATGGATATGAAAAATATGTTTTTTATTTTTATTAAATTAATAGATAAATTTTATTAAAATTTTAAATTAAATTATTTTCATGAATACGAGAGAATTTTTTTAGCATTGTATGGTAGATAAATACACTAAATTCTGAACAGTATTCTGGAAATGCTAGCATAAAGAAATAAGTAACCGAAGCCATGATTAGCTACAACGGGCTTTTGAATTTGTATCAATTATTAAAATTTTATAATAATTTTAACTGAAAATACTGGCATAAAGCTAAATTTTATTTCCTCCGATTTTTGCAATTTGTATCACGTCATTTTCTTTTTCCACTTAATCTTTGGGACCGACAAGAAAAGCACGGGGGAATTTTTTTAGCATTGTATGGTAGATAAAAACACCAAATCTTGAACAGTATTTTGGAAAATGCTGGCATAAAAATATAAGTAACCAATGACATGATTAGCTAGAATGGTTTTTATTAATTACTAAAATTTTATAATAGTTTAACTAAATTGAATTTTTTAAAATTTTTTTTCATTTATTTATCACGATGAATTTATCCAATTAACATATTAGAGTTTGATAAAATTATATAATATTTAGTAATATTATTTGTATAATTTTAAGTAGTTTTAACTCTTATATGTTGATCAGATCTAATAATTTTTCATTACCCTTCATAATATTAAAAGATAAAATATTTAATTAGAGTCTCATAAAATTTTATTTTTTAAATCAAAATAGTAAAATTAATTTTTTTATTAATTTAAAAATTTATAATTTTTTAATAATAACATTTTTCATTACATTAAGTTATAAAAATTTTTAATAAAATTCTTTTTTTTTGGTAATTTTTTTTTTAATTTCACATTCCACTCAAGAAAATAAAATTTCAAAAAGTTTTATAATTTGTGAAAATTTTATTATAGATAAATTATATAACTGTTTTAAAATAAATTTTTAAAAAATTATAAAATTTATTGGAAATGAATATTCAAAACTTATGAAAAAGTATTTGCGTAATTTTATTTTAAAAAAAATAAAAAAAGGGTGAGATATGAAGAAAAAAAAGATGCATTTAAAAACTCCCTCTTCGAACCTATGTTTGCTTTGTAAATTTACTAGAAGGCTATGGGATTTTCTCCCAACCTTTTCGTGCCATGTGACAGCTTGCTTCCAAAGTTTTGAGTATAATAATAATAATATACATAACTTTGTTTCTAACGTAGGAGATTCACTTAAGGCTGTGCACTGTATTTGCCTTGAAATGAGTCAATTATGACACAAAGAAAAAAATTTATCATATGGGCTTTTGAATACGAATTTTCCTTCTATCTACAGCTAAGGATAAATCTCTAACTTGAATTCTGCATTTTACCGAGCCTTTCATTCAACAATAAAATATAAATTTAATGTTAAAATAAGCCTGAAATAAGGAATCGACCTTTCATCTTAAACTTTTATGAAAAATAAGACAGAGAAGTCAAAGTGAAAATGTGAGAGAATTAGTAGTTTTTTTGTTTTACGTATTAAAAGATGCATAAATAATCTTTGCTCGATGATTGGGTTGTGGCATACTATGAAAATGAAGCCGGACGGCGAAGTTCAAAGCCTATCAGTAGCTCATTATTTTAAGATCCCTATGTTTGAAGTGTGCAAATGGCAACTTTGATAACAGGACATTGTCGTCATTTACAAGAGACAACCCGGGCGAGTTAAAACAAATCAACCAGCAAGCAACTACCTTCATTGAAACTGTCAGCCAAAGGCTACCAGTACACAGCACTTTAATTACTCAAGTCACGTTGCCTTAAAGCCCCAAGGAACAAAAAAACAGATGATGAAGTTTCCTTTCACTTCCTTACTACCTTCAGCATCTTGATCTCTAGTTTCTTCCCTTAGGATATCATGGTTCAGCCATTGCTTTTTCCATGTGCTATCTTCTTTTTCTTCTTCTTCTTCTTGTTTTCCTCCTATGTTGTTGCTCTATCTTCCAGGCATCAACCTTTTTCACACTTCACCAAAGTTCAGTTTCTATCTGAACCTTCGCCTCCTCGAATCTCTATGGTTCAAAGCCTGGCAATGCCAACGGCTCCACTATCGTCATCATCATCTTCAAAGGGGAAAGTTGTGAAGGCCATTGTTGCCACAGCTGGAACTACTCTGGTTATTGCTTTGATTGTTTTCTTCTTCTTTTTCAGAAAGATTGTAAGATGCTTCCGGAGAGGTAAGTATGAGTCAAGTTTTCGTCGAGAAGCTGTGGTGATTCCAGATGAGTTCAACAAGTGTGGTGGAAAGGGATTGATCGTTGATGAAAATGGGAGACATGTTCTTTATATGAAAAAACTTGATGAGCGACGATCTAATAGTAAATTTCCGAAGGTCATGTTTAATCCTAGCTATGAAGAAGATGAAGAAGAAATGAGGATCGATGCTAAACCAGAGAGATCAAAAAAATCTCAAGAGGATTTTGAGTTCCTCGATGTGCCATCTGACGTGATTAGTGATCAAAAGGAAGAAAAGCAGCCTATCCAGACTCCAACACTTCCACCTGCACTTGATCCACACCCATCACCTCCTGCAATGATTTCATGAAGCAAACAATAGCATCACCTTCCATAAAGAAAGCCTCACCTCCTCCTCCACCTCCCCCTCCCCCTCCTCCATTGCTTAAGCCACCAGCACCACCAAACCTGGCCAAAACAAATCCGGCAGCTCCACCTCCACCAACGAAAGAAAGTGTTTCTCTTTCATTATTAAAACCCCCAACAGCGCCAAAAGGAACAGCAAACAACAGAAACAGAGCAAGTACACCGCCGGAGAACTGGAAAGGGGCTGGCTTTGGCCAGCTGAAGCTGAAGCCTCTGCACTGGGACAAGGTTATAGCTAATTCTCACCATTCTATGGTTTGGGATCAGATTAAAGATGGATCTCTGAGGTAATTATATAGTCTTAAAATATACGCATGGTTAATTTTATGACGTAAAAATTTGTTTTATGATTCGAATCCATTTCCATATCTATGTCTTCTTACTGATTGTTGTGCTGTCGTCAGATTTGATGATGAGCTAATAGAAACTTTATTCGGATACACTACAGCCAACCGCAAATCGCCAGACAGTAATAACATATCATCAACTTCAGGTAGTTCCAGCAACACCCCTGCAGCTCAGGTTTTCATCCTTGAGCCCCGGAAGTCACAGAACACTGCAATAGTGTTAAAATCTCTCCCGATATCTCGGAAGGAAATTATTTGTGCCCTTCGCGAAGGCCAGGGACTCAATGCTGAGACCCTCGAGAAACTAACCAAGATTGCTCCAACCAGAGAAGAAGAAGCTAAAATCCTCCAATTCAGTGGCAACCCTATGCGACTTGCAGATGCTGAATCATTCCTTTATTACGTCTTGAAAGCTGTTCCTTCAGCATTTATTCGTGTCAGTGCAATGCTTTTCAGATCAAATTATGATTCAGAAATTCTGAACCTCAAGGAATCCCTGCAAACACTTGAGTTGGCGTGCAAGGAGCTAAGAAGCCGAGGACTATTTTTAAAACTCCTGGAGGCTATCCTGAAAGCCGGTAACAGGATGAATGCTGGAACTGCTAGAGGCAATGCATTAGGTTTCAACCTTAGTGCCCTACAAAAACTTTCTGATGTCAAAAGCACTGATGGAAAGACAACACTTCTTCACTTTGTTGTGGAGCAAGTTGCTCGGTCAGAGGGTAGGCGACATGTGAACAACAGGAAAAACAGCATTGGAAAATCGAACAATGCCGATGTAAATTCAGATAACCTGATGTCAGATAATATGATGCTCGGTTTGCCAGCATTGGGAGCTTTAGGTTCTGAATTTTCCAATGTAAAGACAGCAGCTACCGTAGAATACGAGAATTTCATCAACATGTGCTCCAAGCTGACAAGCAGCATCGCTGAAATTAAGCAACTCGTAACATTCTGTGGTAGCAGTGAGAAAACTGGTTTTGTAATGGAAATGAAAGGGTTCTTAGAGGAGTGCGAGGATGAGCTGAAGGTAGTAAGAGAGGAGCAAATAAAGGTTATGGAGCTCGTGAAGAGGACAACAGAATATTACCAGGCAGGAGCATCCGAAGAGAGAGGAACAAATCCACTTCAACTCTTTGTTATTGTTAAAGATTTTCTGGACATGGTTGATCGAGTTCGTGCTGACATTACAAGAAAGCTGCAGCGTACAAATGTGATACACGGCGCAGGATCATCACCACCACCATCGCCATCACCACCTAGGAGGAATCCCCTTGAATTAATAAATTTCCGTTCACAATTCATGTCACAAGACAAGTCCAGTACAACATCTTCCACTGAATCAGATGACGGTTTCTAACAAGGGTTTGCTACATCTCTGAAAATTTGATTAATTACGAAATGAAATGAAATTAGAAGGTTGCTCTTATTGGAAGTTTATCAACCAGTTTAACCTGCTATTCATGTCATTTGGCTGATTTAGGTGAAGTTGGAAACTATTAACTAAAGATGCAAATTGTATAAACGATTTATTAAAGATTCAGTCGACTTATTTTAAAATCTGTTTCATATAGTCCAAATTTTAAGCCTTTCTGTATATGATTTGTAAGTAAAGATGCGGTAGCATGTGCTCCTGTGAATTATTACTGAGCTAACACCGTCAACCACATTTTTTACTGCAACACGCTTTAATACATTTGGAATCCATATAAACTTTATCAGCTCTAATAAGAAATAACAAAAACACGGACATGGCATTGGTAAATTACCTGCCATGTGGTCATCAGGTCTCGACAAACCCCTGGGGGTTAATTTATGGTAGTTGAATAGTGTTCTTTTCATTCAATTGCCTCGTCTCAATGTCAGTCAAAATCCCCATTACTTCAAAATCATTGATAAGAGAGAGAGGAAAAAAAAGGTGAAAATAATGTGAATCTCAACCTTTTCCTACCGTTATTGGGAGGAAGGACAATAGGAAAAGGAAAGGAAAATTGATGAATAGTTTTTCCTTTCCACAAAACGCCTTTTCGTCCACTTAAATTAATCAGGTTGCTTTAATTTTACCCTAAATTACTTTCCTTCCTTTTGTTTTTCATCCCTTATGCCAAACATATGGAATTGAAAGGAAAAAGCAAATTTGCTGTCTTTCCTTTTCCTTCTTCTCCATCAATCAGTGTAAATAACTTCGGCTGTACCGGGCCCTCAGTGGTAATGCAATTATTATAAAAAATGGTGCCAATCCAAACATTGTTGTGGTGCTTTCATCAGTTTATCATTGAAGTTGAAGGTTCCAGTTGCTTGAATTTAAACTTCAATATTTTTTTTTAAAATTTTTCTTCTTAAGTTATCACCTTTTAGTTTTTCTTTTGTTATTTTTTATTCTGATTTTTTTACTTTTTTCCCAGATTTTGAGTTTTTTATTTAAAAATTATAAAATAATTTTGTTACTTTAATATGAAAATAAAATTTATTTATTATATAATAAATTAACTAAAAAATCATTTTAATTAATTTATTAATAAAACTATTATTTGATTTTAAAATAATTTATATAATTTATTAATTTTAAAATATTAAATAATTTAAATTTTTTTCATACAATTTTTAGTTAGTATACTTAATATCCTTTTCGCAATTTTTATATCTAAACACATATCTTATCACAGATTTTAATCTCATAATTACAATAATTAATCTCACCTGCACTATTATTTTCAATCTCATCATTCATCCAAATGGATCTTTAATATATATTAGATAGCAATTGACAAGGTTTGAAAACACTCCATGAATAAAGCAATAAAAATTTAAATTTATCCACAAAATTTTTAGGATTTTATTATCAAACCATAAACCAGACAGAACTGCAATGAACCACCTAAGACGGAAGCATATTAAAGTGTGATCAATTGCTCTATTCAATGAAGTAACAACCAAGCATATTGAATATCAACGAATCCAGTACATATTGCAAACATCATGTTCCTTTCAAATGGAATTGGAGCCATCATGTAGATTGTACCTACTCATCCTTATTTTTCAAACAGAAGACACAATATTTTTCATCTCAAACATATATTATCTGACAGAATATCGTCAATTGACTGCACAGATACGTCAGCTTACTTATACCATGTTGTTAGTGTTTATTCTTCTCTGCATTTTATTCCTTTTCTACAGCAATCAGAGGTCACTGCATAATACCGTAATGAAAGTAAAGCCTCCATCACGACATCTCCCTTTCGAATGAAGGGTGCTAACAAACTATTGATTATACAAAGTCAGGCATTCTCATCCAAAAAAGTATCAGGCCTTATCCTAAAAGAACTTTAATAAAGCATCAAGTAAACATTTGCCCTCATTGAACTATGAAGTCCTAAAGGTTCTCAACCAGTGGACCATTATTATTTGTCATTTTACTTGTGTAGTAAATGAGTTAAGATTAGGAATAAACAGCACCTCTGAAAGAAAAAGGCAAGAGTTTTCTTGTACTGCTGCTCCGGGTACTATCTGAAAAGATTAATGACACTGATAAACTAAACATCATAAAACAAAAGAACAAGAAGTTCAAGCTCCAACCTATTTGCGCAGGGAAATAGGAATTACATTAACAGAAAGAGCAAAGCAAAGCAAAGCATAAGGAACACCGATAACCTACCAGCAAATATAATGTTCAACTGTCACGTGCATTCTCTTTTCTTTTCTCTCTCCATTTTTATGCTCTTTTCATTGCCTTTTTGAGCAAAACCCAAAAGGGTTGAAAATTAGAAATTTCAAGATTGTCCCTTACTTTTAGTGTTTGTTTTCATGCACAAGTGACTATATAAAAGTGCACAGAAAATATTCCCCCCTTAATATTAATCAAGTTCCTTTCTGGCATGTTTTCTTGTTATCTAAGATACAACTTTTTTTCCGTGTGAGAAAAAATAAAGGTTAAAGTAGAATGCAATCACCACGCATATAAGACCAGTTTCTAAAGAATCATACAAGTGTAAAGAGGAAGTAGAAAAAGAAATTAGTCTTACATAGATGGGGCAACTTTTACCTGGAAGTTGTCTTTGCAATACGTGTTAAATATGCTTAAAATTGTCGACTAAACCTAAGCAAAATACTCAAGAAATGAGCCTTAAACCTTCCATAAATGGTGATTGGTGAGGTAAGTCTTAGGATCAAGTTGAGCACATTTACAACTCCAGAACTTTCAAGGAGAAAAAACGAAAACCTAACAAATAAAATTGTCGACTAAACCTAAGCAAAATACTCAAGAAATGAGCCTTAAACCTTCCATAAATGGCGATTGGTGAGGTAAGTCTTAGGATCAAGTTGAGCACATTTACAACTCCAGAACTTTCAAGGAGAAAAAACGAAAACCTAACAAATTATTCAGGTCTGGCATGCATCTCTTTCTACTAAGATCAACAATTTGCTCAGACATTAACACAATGATATACCAACCAATTGATGAAATTTTAAGATGCATAAGCATATAAAGTACAATTACCATAATAGTACTGACTTATTTTTATCCTCTTTAAGTGCTGAATTTCTAAACCATTGTATCACAAACTAAAGATTGTCAAGAGTCATCTAATTCATCATAAAAAGAAAAGGAAAGAAAATTAGATACAAACTTTATTCATTTATTTAATTGGCAGTGAGGAATCCCCTGGGGAAGGTTCAAAGTACTGCAAGAATAAACAAAAAAAAAAAAAAAACCATGGTAGCTGAACTGAGAGGATGGCATATGTGTAGACACATATAACAGTGTCATGGGATCAAATTTACTGCAGAGATCTCATATCTAACTATCTAAAGCACAGTTATATATGTTTTAATTAGCATCTTTTATGCAAAACTGATAGAAAGGTTAATTAACAACCTCTCAACCACCTGTCAAGAAGACTAAAGGCAAATAAAAGTACGATTATTACATTTAGACAGCCATTCAAATTTTAGATTTCAAAACTATCAACCCAAGTGCAACCAAAAGATACACTCAAAAAAGTAAGAGTAACCAGTTAACTGCTAATGTTATCCTTTATCCATTATCCGTATTCATTCATATTCGAGTATCACTTCAAAAAACAAACAAAAGTCATCCTTGTATAATGACAAAAAGCAGACACAAATCACCAAAAGCACACACAGATTCAACAAATGAAACATTCTAGATGTGAAAAACAATCTCAGTAAATCTGACCTAGTGCATTTACAATAGCCTTTCTAAGATAAAAGCTAAATCCAGATAAGCCTTGGCTCCATGTGTAAACAGCACATACCCCAAGCATAGAAAGAAATTAAAGCAGTCATATTAATACCAGTAACACCTAAGGAATGCGTTAAAGAGAAAAGAAAACAAATTACAGAATATTCATAAGCAGAATTTAAGGAGTAATGCAACTAAAGAAAACCGAATGCTCATAATTATTTGATATTAAAAGCATAATCAAATAAAATTCATAATTTTAATATAAAAAGAAATATCATAGAAGTAGGAAACACAGGGAGGCAGGAACCTTATTATAATATTCTTTAGGTATTGAATTTCTATACCACTTATCTATTCACATGCCAAGATGAGTCCTCTAATATCAACTCATGCACCATACAGATGAGAACCTAACTCATAGAAACGTAACTCAATTCCCTGAGTGTCAAATGAGATAATGCGATACTTTAAATCTATGAAAACCAGGGTCTACTACTTAAAAACAAGCAATAAAGGCACAAAAAAAAAAAAAAAAAGAGTAACCCAACATACATAATTCAAAACGGAGACTGCTCCTAAGACCTTGCAATCATGCTACAAGAACGAGCCAACCTAAATGTCAGACTGCCTCCTTGAACACTAGCTTCAGCCTCCACAGGATCATGCTCATACGGCTTCCTGCAACCAGGACAACGTCCATCCTCCTCAAGAATCCTCTTGTGGCAGAAAAGACAGAGTCGGAAACCACATAAACAGGGCAAAAAACTTGAGTCCGTGAAATCCAAATCCTCATAGCATATGGGACATGATGATGGCACCGAAAATACACTGCTACGCGCCCATGAAACCCCTTCTTGACCACAATGCCGGTCCGTAGCTGGAAAACTCCGCTGCTTTGACAAATTAGGAAGACTCTGCGGTCGAAAAGCATCATCAGCCCTCCATGCCCTGCTACGTCCTGTCGCCCTCTGCACCATTCTTGGACACTCAGGCTTCGAATTCCTCAAATTCAATGCAGCCCCATTCGAACCTATCTGGGGATTTGGCACATGCCCAGTGGTCAATCCTAAACGACGGTTTTCCCTGTTATTCTCGTTCTGCTCCACTTCCCGCTTGTCATCATCGGCAGCCAATGCATCAGCAAACGCCTCCCAATCATCCAAACATCCATCATCGCCTTCTTCTTCCGTGATGCAACCAGAACAGCATCCGCCGCTACTCGTGCTGCTGCTGCTGCTACTATTGGTGAAGCTTGCCCCAGAATCCATTCCTCCCAGCAGGCTGCTGCCCGTGGGGCTATTTGAAGGCCAACACTCAGATTCGCTCTCGTGTTGGACCGATACATTTTCTCCTTCTCCATTAGCCTCAGCAATTCTCCTCATCTCTAAATTCTCCAAGGAACGGTCCCTTTCACCCCGCTGAGTTTGCTTCGAGTCGGCAGCGTTAGTTCCTTCCTTGCAACAACCCTTGTTTTTTACAGCACCTAATCAAAATCAAAATTGAAAAAATAATAATAACAACAACTACAAAAAAAAAAAAATCCCTAATTCGAAACAAAAGAGAAACTATCCGTTAACATACTTTGAGAAAGCCATTGCTCACGGCGCGCATCCAGTTTGCACTGCTTCAATTTTGCAGACCTCTGAAACTCCCCCACGAAAAAGTAATAAAAAAATCAATAAAATAAAAGAAAATTATCAAATAAAAATATGAATATCAATAATAAAAAAATAAAAAAGAAGTCCATACTCTCTTCTTTCTGGAGAAATCTCCGCAGTTGGAGGCTGAATGAGAAGAAGCGTTGTTGATCGACACGGAATCCATAGCTTCCACAAGAAAAAGAGGGATTTTTTTAAAACAATTGAGAGATTAAAATAACCCTAATTTGGTTTTTTTTTTTTTTAATTAGAGTTTGTTTGAGTTTCTTCGTTTCGGTTTTGAGAGAGAACAAAGAAAAATAAAGAATGGATAACGGAAACTCCTCTCCGCTCACCCTTTCGATTTCACTGGCAAATAACGCCCAAGCCTCTCATTTATATACCATTTATGTGACGAAAATACCCCTAATTTTTTATGTAACCCGAGCCAAGCTTTGGGAAGAAAACGGAAGAGAATAATTAAGAATGGAGAGTGAACAAAACGGCGTCGGAATCATTACAGGATTTACGCGCAAGTGGCTAGATAAATGGGGTTAAATTTGAAATTATGCTATTTTTTTTAATTTTGATTTTAGGTAATGGTATTTATTAGGAGTTACATTAATTAATTAGGATAATTAATGGTTTTTGTATTTTTATGAAAAACTAAAATTTAAGTATTAATTAATTAGGATAATTAATGGTTTTTGTATTTTTATGAAAAAATAAACTTTAAGTAATAAATGCAAGAGAGTTTTTTTCTAATCTCAAACTTCAATTTTTCATTTTTTATAGTATATAATTTTTAATTTTCTTTTAGTGCACGTAAAGCATAAATTAATACTATCAAAATAAAACCTTATCTTTCTAAAAATAATTACATTATTTATCTTTAATCTTATCTTTAATTTTATTATGGATTATGATGGATGATTGTAAGTATATCAATCTAAAGAGATAATCTCTCTAATGCTAAAAGTTAGTGAATATCTTCATTATTATTTACATGAAAATATGATTCCTATTGACATCAAGATAAGATTTTTTCGTATCAAATTTTTTTAAGAAACAAAACATACTTCATCTTTTACCTTTTAACATATTCATTTTAACTCATTAATTTTTTTTATTTGATTTTTGTATTTTATTTCATGATCCGTCAGTATTGTCAAGTTGGGAAGATGTCGAAAGACAATGAGAATATCATATTTAGATCAAATAGTTTTTTTTTTTTATTACTTTAAGATGATAAACCTTAGTACAAGTAAAAAAAATTTGATTCAAAATCAGATCTTTGATATCTCTTTAAACTTTTTTAACTACTAAACTAAAAGTTTTGGAACAAATTAAATAGTTGATTCATATGTAAGAGATGAATTTTTGTACATTGGAATTCAATCTCCAACTTTTATAGTTTTTTCTAATATTTTCTTAACAAAATCAAGCTTAGTTTAAATAATTCATTGATTTGAAATGGATTTTCATAAAGTTTGAAGTTGATTTATGACACTTACAATTTTTTTTTTAAGTTTCCTCAAGCATTGACCTTCTTTCTATTAAAAAAAAGACAATATTTTTTTAATTGATTTCAAAAACTAAATTATTATGAATCCACTAACATTATATTAGAGGATGGAATTTGACAAAAAAAAAGAGAATATTCTTTTAATTTACTTTAAAAACTATATTATTATGAATCCATTAACATTATATTGGAGGATGAAACTTGAGAAAAAAAAAATGATTGAATGATTGAAGTTGTTGTTTGAGTACTTGATTGCATAGGATAATGGTTTTGTTGCAACTAGTAGTCAGCATGCCTTATATCGTGGGAATACTATAAAAATTCTCATCTTCCCACTCCTTTTTTTTTTTTTGGAATAATTGAAATTTTATTCCAACATTTAAAAGCAAGAAATAGAGTCATCTACAAGCATGTCGATTATCGCATCAAAGATAATATCTAACATAAACAATCTAAAAATTACCAAAAATAACATCAAATTTAGGCTCCATTTGGTTTCAACTGTACCTCCAATGGGGTGCAGTTGCCAACAAAAAATGTGTTTATTGGTGTTTAACATCCATTTAGATATCAAAGCTATGGCACAATTGTCTACTTTTTTTCAAGAATTTAGCTTTAGTTGAAAAAACACACCGACCTTCAATTTTTTTTCCTTTTTTCATTTTTTATTTTATATTACAAAGATAAAAATATTTTTATACTTTAATTTTTTATTTTTATTTAAAAATTATAAAATAAATTTATTAATTTATTATAATAAATAAGTTTTATTTATTATATAATAAATTAATATATAAATAAAATTCTAATTAATTTTATAAATATTAAATAATTTAAAATTTTTGTTAATATAATTTATACTCTAATGTCTTTAATGACATTTTTTTTCACTTCACTACTTTTATTATTTTTACATCTAAATACATATTTTATTATTAATTTTAATTCCACAATTAATATATTAAATTTTATTATTATAATAATTAATTTTATTTTTATTATTATTTTTAATTTTATCAGAATCAATCTTACCCTTTATTCAAATGAAATTTTATATTGTCCCAACTTACATAAAGGTCGCTGGACCTAACAAAAAATAAATCCCTTAAAATTAATCTATCTAACACGTGGCAAAAAGATACACGACAAATGTCATAAAATAAACCTTTAAGATGATTTTATTATATAAAATACTAATTTAATGACCGGCATTTCGCTGCCGCTCTAATAGAGTAATATAATAATAGTAATTAAAATAAAAATAATATTATAATAAAAGGAGTCAATATACGTTCCAACATTAAAATATTAAAGTTCAAAGTTCAAAACATAAATGCAAATTCAAAAGGTAACTTATTTACGAAACTAAATGACATTGAATCGCAATCTCCCAAGCAAGTCTAATTCTTAAGCTACATTAAATCCAAAAGCAACTTTAGTGTTAACCTGTAAATATGATAATTAAATTATAAGTGATTTTCTGGGGATGGTATTACAAAAGAAAATAGCCGTGTCCAACATTCTTACTAATTTGAATCACATATTTTTTTACTACTATCATTTACAAAAGGATTGAACATAAAAATTAAATCAATGAACTCTAGCTCCATTTTCTTCAAAGAAGCTGTCTTGGTAAGATAGCTGTAGCTGCTCTTCTGCTTGAACAACTGAGCAAAGTGGTGCATGCAGTAGATGATGTCATCCAATGCAACATAAGACGATGGTGTTTTATGGTATTTTCTTTTGGCATATGAGCATTAATTATATCAAAATGACTTGAAATTGACATATTGAACCAATGAATCCTAAGTGGCCACCTTGATAATTTCATTTAGAAAAGGAAAATACATCCAGCAAATGAACATTAATTATATCAAAATAATCTTTTGGCATCTACATTGCAAAGAAATTAAAGTTTAATGCAATGGTGGGAGAGAATTTGAGTACCAATCCATTTGGCTTGTCGGGTTTCCTAGTTGAAAAACCACCAAAGAAAAAAAATTATTAGCCAAAATGAAAATGTGAAACAAGTACTAATGCTCGACCAAGTGGAAAGAATTGGTTTAGAAAGGAAAGGGACATCACTTTGAAATTTCTTTGTGTAATTACCGGTCTTTTCGAAAAGTTATTCAAAGTGAGACTTGCGATATAAGACTCTTTCCTTTGAGCGATAGTTGCTCATCTATTAAAAAGAAGATTGTACGTTCAATTTTGAATTTAATGGTTTCAACGTTTTTTTAATTAAAAATATTATCTTTAATTTGATTTAATTAAAGATTGAACGTTTATAGATTGCTTAAAATAGGACTTTTAACGGCATACGCATTTTAAAAAAGTAAAGCATATTAAAAGGGCAAAATGTGAAGTTGAGGTAGGTAAAGAAGGATAAAATCGTATTTTTCAATGTTTAACTAAAGTTAAAGAAAAAAAAGCAAGGTCTTTTTCTTCGCTTCTTCCCACCAACATAGAGTAATAACAAACAACTCAAATCCAAAAAATAAAAAACTTTTAAAAAAAATGAAGATATCATCTTCATTTTCAAATTTAACCCATCAATTTTCTCTCATTTTCCCATACTTTCTCATCATTCAAACACCTAAAAAATAACCAAGTAAAGAAACTAAGATATTATTTTTCTTTCCAAACTAAATCCATCATTTTCTTTTCATTTTTCCTTACTTTCTTAGCATCCAAACACCAAGAAATATATAAAAACTCCAAATCAAAAAAATGAAATTATACTATATAATTAATCCTACTAAAGAATCAATATTTAAGAAACAAAGCCAAACCTAGAAACATAACCAACTCAAAAAGCCAAAGATTTTATCCTCCTTTCTAAAATTGATCCATCATCTTTCTTTCATTTTCTCACACTTTCTTAGCATCTAAACACCTAAAAAAATATATCAAAGAAATAACAAAAAAAGAGTCACATTAAAAACAAAGCAAGAACCAATATCCAATGAGGTGTTAGCGGAAGGTGAGATTGAGATTAAGCTAGAGCTGGGATTATCAATAGCCAATAGGGGAGGCTTTTGAAAAGCCAATAAACTAAAGCTAATAAAAAGAAAGAACCAAAACCCAACAATAACTAGGTTATAGATATTGGGGAAAGCACAGATTTTGATCCACAATCAAAACGTGAGATTCAAGCTTTAAAGAAACAAAAAGTGAAAAAGAAGTGAGAAGATAAGTAGAAAAAGCATGCATTCAAAAGTAAAGACAACTGCAAAGTGAAGGAAATGCTTGAAGAACTCACTTTTAAGATTATTTGGTTTTAGGGTACTTTTTTTTGAAAATATTTTGGAATTGTTTACTTTTTTTTTTCTTTCAATTGAAAATTTTGAAGGAATTAGTATTTTCATTGATAAAAAGGAGAACTTAATGATTAATATTGGATTTTAATGGCTTGTGCACTGCACTCCTATTAGGAGTCCTATTTTGAACTAACCCGAAAACATTAAATTTTAAATTGAATCAAATTAAAAATAATATTTTTAATTCAGCCCATATGTTAGGTCTTAAATTGAGCATTAGCCAAAAAAGAATTGTGACTAACATGTTAGATTGATCAAGCTTCAGTGCTATATAGTTCAAAAAAAAAAAAAAAAGAAAAAAATTCCCAACTTATTTATCATACAATTTTGCTAGTTAACCTTCTTTATTCATCCATTTCAATTTCATGAAAGTAGAAAGCTCATCAAGCTTTGACTGTCTTATCAATAATTTTATAAAATTTCAAAATTCTTGTAAAGGAAAACAACAATCGACATAGCCAAAGATTATAGTTACATAATACATACACTGGAAGTCCATTGCAATGATTGCACTTGAAATAGGTCTTATGATAAGAAATCCAATTTGCTGATAATAAATCAATAAAATGAATAATCTTATCACAAGCCTTGTATTTGTCTATTGTC